AATTTAATATCTATATGTTTATAAATATATTATAGTGCCTCTAATATGTTTAAATTTTTTTCCAACTTATATACATGAATATTACCATATCAAATTATATTTCTTCGTTCGGATATTAGGAATGCCATGACGAAACATCATGAAGAAGAAGCAAAGTATAATATCCGAAAGATGGATTTAGATAAAAAAAAAAAACATATATAATGAAGAAGAAGAACATAATAGCAGAGAATAAGAAGGAAAATTTGAAAGAAGAAAATCGGAGGATAAATAAGACGAAAGTAAAGTACGAGAAGAAAAGACAAAAAAAGCAGAAAATTAAGATGTTACACAAATAAAATAAAGAAGATGAAAGAACTACAACTTAAAAAAAATAGCAAAAATATATGAGGAGATGAAGAAAAATAAATATGGGAAGACGAGAAAAAAATAAAAACTAAAATAAAGAGGAAGACGAAACTGATAAATAAGATGTTACAAAAAAAGAAAAAGACTGATACTAGAAAATGATGAAGTACAAGTTGAAATAAGAAGGAAAACTTGAATAAAAATAAGGATAGACAAAGTTGGAAGACAAAGACGGAAAAAACGAACAAAAAACAAAACAAAAGAAGAAAAGAATTGAAGAATTTATGAATAATAAAGAAGTGGAAAAATAAAAAGATACAAAATGAAAAATAAGAACACAAAACCAGTTGAAAAACAAACTGTAAATAAACGGAAGAAAACGAATAAAAACCACGAAATAAAAAGATATCGATGAAGACAGAGGAAAAGAAAAAGAGTATAAATTTTGATAAGAATCAGGAAAAACGGTAGAAAATGAAGGAAAAAATATGAAAGAAGTAATTTTTTTTTAAATGGGGTTGGGGTACACAATGTACGGTTTATACTGATTGGCGTAAGGTTTAATTTTTGTTGCATTTTAAAAAATTTGAATACACTACATTACCGATTAAAAACAAAAAAAAATTAAGGAAAAAATAAAAATAAAAGCAAATCCAGAATTAGTTAGTAAAATGTGGTGTTCAGGTGTGCGGTTTAGTGGAGAGTTATAACGTGGGGTTTCTGTCTAGGGTGTAGGGTCGTTTTGGGGCGAGGGGGAGAGTTATAACGTGGGGTTTGGGTTTAGGGTGTAGGGTCGTTTGGGGGGGTTTAGAAGACGGGGAACACGGGGGAAAAAAATCCAAGAAGAAAAAATGGAATGTGTAAAAAAAAGACAAAGAAAAGATAAATAAAAACTATAATAATATGATGTCAGCGAAGACGAAGATGAGAAAGATAGAGAGACGGGGAATGAGGAATAAGAAAAATTGGAAATAGAATGTAAAGAAAATTAGAAAGAAAAATAAGAATAGTGAGTTGGAGGATATGGAAACACACAAAAAAGAACGATTGAAGAACAAAAATTGGAAGATGAAGAAGAAGCAGAAAAAAGAAAATGATGACAACGAATAAAAAAATAGAAGAAAAAGAAGTAGATGAGATCACTAGAGAAGAATAAAAGGGATAAGAAAACAACAATTACAAAAAAAAAAAAAAAAAAAAAAAGCAAATCAAGAACTAATTGGTAATGTGAGATTCAGGTGTCCGGTTCATGGGGGAGTTATAATGTGGATTTGGGTTGAGGGTGCAGGTTCTTTAATTAGGGTAAGGGGGGTTTATAATGTGGTGTTTGGGTTTAGGTTTTATATTGATGGGTGTAGGATTTAGTTTTCTGGTGTGAAACAACCAACATTTTTTTTTAAATACTAAACAATTCTAGCGAAGGTCTTTAAAATAAATTAAAGAAATAAATCAATCAATAAAAATGTTCAGCGGAAGCAAATAAAAAATTTAAATAAATACTTCTAACAACTTAAACAAGTTCAACAAATCAATGCATAATAATAAACCCTATCATTCCCCTCTTAAGCCTCGATTCCGCGATCACATAAACCTTTTACCTGCAACACATTGGAATGGAGTTGCATAAGTATTTAATAAATACTTAGTGAGGCAATCACTCTACCTACACGCCATTTACGCAATTTACTAGATATTTAATAATATTTATAAACTCGAGTAATTATTAAATACCATTTTCCAATTATTAAATAATTCTTAATAATTAAAGCTCCATTTCTCAATTATTAAATAATTCTTATAATTAAATAGTATTTTTCCATATTTAAAATAATTTAAATAATTATTTAAGCAAAATAGTTTATTAAATACCTTTTTAATTAATTAAATCCAAATTAAGCCATTTAACCAGATTTTAACCAGAAATCAATTAAATTAAACGAGAAATCAATTTTCAATTGAATCAGAGTAAACCGGTTGCGTCGACAAAAGAAGAAAAAAATTGAAGAATATGTGAACAATAAAGAAGTTGGAAAATTCAAAAGATAAAAAAGTGAAGAATAAGACCACAAAGCCAATTGAAACAAAAATGGTAAATAAAAGGAAGAACATGAATACAAACCAGGAAATAAAAAAATCATGACGATGAAGATAGAGGAAAAGAAAAAGAGAATAAAATTTTTGATAAGAATAAGAAGAAAAAAATATTTGCAAAGATTATCATAACTGAACCATATGAATCGTTAATATTTATTTAATAATTTAATATCTATATGTTTATAAATATATTATAGTGCCTCTAATATGTTTAAAAATTTTCTAACTTATATACATGAATATTACCATATCAAATTATATTTCTTCGTTCGGATATTAGGAATGCCATGACGAAACATCATGAAGAAGAAGCAAAGTATAATATCCGAAAGATGGATTTAGATAAAAAAAAAACATATATAACGAAGAAAAAGAACATAATAGCAGAGAATAAGAAGGAAAATTTGAAATAAGTTTGTTTCAAATAAGTTTATTAACACATTTTCTATCTATTTGTCTTGCATCCCTCTAGGTGTGTAGGCGGAACTACAAGATGAAGTATCTCTCAGATCGGAGTTAACTTTTACATGTGATTGCCCTAAACCATGGTACAATACGTCTCTATGAAATTTTCTATTTTCTCTGATTATCTCTGAGAGATTAGGATATAGAAAAGTTTCGTTTTCCCGATCTGAATTTCCTTTCGGGTTCTTTGGAGCTAGAAATCTATATATTTTTGGATCATGATCTGTTATTCTTGGGATAGTGCTAGGTTAGATTGGACGCTCTGTTTTACATAGAAGCGTACAAAATGCAACTGAGTGTTATGAATATTTTTCTATAGTCGAGGAGAAAGACGAGAACCTAGCTATGGAAGAGAATGTGACTCTAGGTCCTGCATCAATCAACGAAACTTTCATCGTGAGTTTGTGACTGTTTTTAATTCTCGCTTAAAAAAGTGATATTCCATTATCATGTACATAGAAAGTTGACATTATATCTGTTACACTTGCAGCACGTTAATTAACTTTGATGTTATTTTTGTTCTCTCTATTAAAACTATATTTGAATAATTATTTGAAATATATAACTTGCTCATCTACCTCAGATACAAAAAGAGCTGCAAATCGATTTTGATTTAGATGGGGATTAAAAGGAGGTTTGATAATATGCTTTAGCTTTTGTGTTTTGGTTGATGTCTCCTAGCCATTGTTGCGTATTTTCAATATATTGATGACACATATCCTGAAGTACCAGCTTCTTCTACCTATACCGCAGTTGAAGCACCTAAAGGAACACGGCGGATACAGGACCAACGGTGACCAAGACAGAAAAGGTTGATTCCCTTATTTCATTTTTTTTCTTCTAATCATATTTAATTGTTTTCGGGTTTAATTTCCATCTAATCATATTGTTCGAGTTGTAACATCCATAAACCAAAAATAAAAATTGGGAATTTTGTCGGTTCAATTTAAGTGAATTGGTTTGGGTCGGTTTAGTGGAGAAAGCCCTAAAATCAAGTTTAAAGAGTGCAGCCGTCTTCTCTTTGGAGAATTTTCGAGTTCAGATGCTGTAGAGGAGAAAAGTTGAGTTTTTGGAGAGATTTTCGAATTTTACTGTTCATCGGCACTGTTCATCGGTACTGTTCACGGGTTACTGTTCATCGGTACTGTTCACGGGTACTGTTCATCGGTACTGTTCATCGGTACTGTTCATCGTCGATCGCACTGTTCATTTTTCCTTCAGTTTCAATCATTGTCAAGGTGAGTGCATGACTGTGGGTCCGTGATTTGCTAGATTAGATTTGGTTTGTGGTTGTTCTTGATGAGTTTATGTTTTAATTGTTATTTCATGATATTTTGGTTGTTTATGTGATGAATTGTGTGTTTGTGTGGTTTAATCTGGTTTAATTGAATTTAATTGATTTGATTCTGGTTTATCTTGGTTCAATTGAATTTAATTGGTTTATATTGTTTAATTGAATTTAATTGGTTTAATGGAATTAAATAGATTTAATTCGGATTTAATTAATTGGTTTAAAATTAATTTTAAAATATGGAAAATTATTATTTAATTATGAGAATTATTTAATAATTGAGAAATTGAGTTTTAATTATTAAAAATTATTTAATAATTGGAAAATGGTATTTAATAATTATTGGAGTTTATAAATATTATTAAATATCTAGTAAATTGCGTAAATGGCTCGTAGGCAGAGTGATTGCCTCACTAAGTATTTATTAAATACTTACGCAACTCCATTCCAATGTGTTGCAGGTAAAAGATTTGTGTGATCGCGGAATCAAGGCTGAAGAGGGGGATGATAGGATGTTTACTGTTTTATTGTTTTGCATTATTTTGCTAGACTTGTTTAATTATTATTTGCTTCCGCTGAGCTGATTTATTTGTTATTGATATTTTATTTATTTAATTTATTTTAAAGACCTTCGCTAGAATTGATTAATATTTATTAAAAAAAAAATGTTGGTTGTTTCATTTTGGTATCAGAGCCTAGACGGTTTTAGGACTGTTAGAATTGCTAGGCTTAGTATCATCCCCTTCAGCTACAAGAGATTCCGCGGTGAGTTTATGTTTGTTTTGAGTTTTGGTTGCGTGTTCTAGTGTGCTCTTTTTGGTTCCATGAGTGAGATGGACTGAGTAGCTAGAGGTTGTGGCGCGAGAGGGCGCGGTGCTCGAGGCCGTGGTGGCAGAGCTAGAGGCCGTGGAGGCCGGGGCCGAGGTCGTGGACTTCGGCGGATTCGGGAGAGAGTGTGGCGCCTAGTGTGGCGACTGCGTCGGTGACCCAGTCGGTATCCGTGGCGAGTGAGGCCAGTGTGGATGCGAGTGTTGGTTTGGGAGCGGGGGCTGCTCCGGGTGGGGTGGTGCTCCGGCTCAGGGTCTTGATGACTTAGTGGTGGGTTTGCTGACGCAGTTATTGGCTCGTTTTCCGCCAGTGGTTCCACAGGGGGCTCCGGGAGTACCTCCAGTGGCAGAGGTGCAGCAGAGGGCTGCGGGTTTTGTTCAGCCGCAGGCTGTGGGTTTGATGGTGCCGCCTTTTTGGATATGATGGGGCACATGCAGAGGATTGGTACGCCGTACTTTAGGGCGGAGTTAGCCCAGAGGCGGCAGATTAGTGGCGTTAGAGATTGGAGCGGAATTTCCAGTCTATCAGATGTTTGTTTAGTACCAGGTGGAGTTGGCAGTCCACTATCTGAGTGGAGACGCACATTTGTGGTGGTTGTAGTTTTGTTCTGTTTTGTATCTGTGATAGAATTGTGGAGGTTCTCAACGCAATTGAATGTGTAGGGACCTTGTTAGTGGGCGGTTTTGAGTCCCACGTTTTATTCGACTCTGGAGCATCGAATTGCTTCATTACACCGGAGCGTGCCGAGAAGAGTGGCATCCGGAGTAGCGCGGGCGAGAGCGCGGGCATGGTCAAGGTGGCGGGAGGTGGATTCTTGTCTACTTTGGGCCGTGCTAGAGGAGTCGAGATCGAGATTGCGGGGCAGTCAATGCCAGCAGACTTAGTCATCAGTCCGGTGGAGCTGTATGACGTTATTCTCGGGATGGACTGGTTGTCACACTACAGAGTTCATCTGGATTGCTACAGAGGTAGAGTGGTCTTCGAGCGAGATGCAGGGAGGTTGGTTTATCAGGGAGTGAGACCGACTTCCGGGAGTATTGTGATATCTGCTATTCAGGCCGAGCAGTTGTTAGAGCGGGGCTGTGAGGCGTATCTGGCGACGATTTCTATGTCTGAGTCAGGAGCTGGAGTTGTTATGGGAGATATTGAGGTTGTCCAGGATTTTGAGGATGTCTTTCAGTCACTGAAGGGATTACCACCATCTCGGTCTGATCCTTTCACGATTGAGTTAGAGCCGGGGACAGCACCGATATCGAAGACGCCTTACAGGATGGCGCCAGCTGAGTTGGCAGAGCTGAAGAAGCAGATAGAGGACCTTTTGTCTAAGGGGTTCATTCGACCGAGTGTTTCACCGTGGGGAGCACCGGTGTTGTTTGTGAAGAAGAAGGATGGCAGTTTCAGACTTTGTATCGATTACAGAGGTCTTAACCGAGTCACTGTGAAGAACAGGTACCCACTCCCGAGGATTGATGAGTTGTTGGATCAGTTGAGGGGTGCTACTTGGTTCTCCAAGATTGACTTGGCATCGGGGTATCATCAGATCCCGATAGATGAGGCAGATGTCAGGAAGACTGCTTTCAGGACGCGTTATGGGCATTTTGAGTTTGTGGTTATGCCTTTCGGTTTGACTAACGCGCCGGCAGCCTTCATGAGATTGATGAACGACGTGTTCAGGGAGTATTTGGACGTGTTTGTCATCATTTTCATTGACGATATTCTGGTATACTCGAGGAGTCAGGAGGAGCATGCGACTCACTTGAGGTTGGTTCTGGAGAAGCTTCGGGAGCAGAAGCTTTTTGCTAAGTTGAGCAAGTGCAGTTTCTGGCAGCGAGAGATGGGATTTCTTGGCCACATTGTTTCTGCAGAGGGAGTTTCTGTGGATCCGGCTAAGATTGAGGCTATCAGAGATTGGCCTAGACCTAGTAGTGCCACCGAGATCAGGAGTTTTCTGGGTTTGGCAGGATACTACAGGAGGTTCGTCAAGGGGTTTGCTACCATGGCGCAGCCGATGACGAAGTTGACCGGGAAGGATGTCCCTTTTGTTTGGTCAGCTGAGTGTGAGGAGAGCTTTAGTCAGCTCAAGGAGATGTTGACTACTACACCAGTGTTGGCGTTACCCGAGCCAGGGAAGCCTTACATGGTGTATACAGATGCTTCAGGCATTGGTCTTGGTTGTGTGCTGATGCAGGAGGGCAGAGTGATAGCATATGCTTCGAGACAGTGGCAGGGCAGTGAGCGTAACCGTCCTACACATGACTTAGAGTTGGGAGCAGTGATCTTCGCGTTGAAGATTTGGAGGTCTTACTTGCTAGGTGAGACAGTACAGGTCTTCACGGATCACAAGAGTTTGCAGCATATCTTCACTCAGCCGATGATGAACGCGAGACAGACGCGCTGGGTTGAGTTCTTGGCGGATTATCAGGTGAGCATTAACTACCATCCGGGCAAGGCTAACCTAGTGGCGGACGCGTTGAGTAGACGGAGGTATGATTCCGCAGTTGAGCGAGATGTGGAGTCTCTAGTTGGCGAGATCAGTACCTTGCGTTTGTGTGCCATTTCGCATGAGCCTTTGGGTTTAGAGGCGGTGGATCAGGCGGATCTACTTAGCAGGATCAGAGTTGCTCAGCAGAGTGATCAGAGTTTGCTAGATGCGACGAGAGTGACTGGTTCTGAGTATGAGGTCTCTGCGAATGGGACTATCTTGGTTCGTGGGCGAGTTTGTGTGCCTAAGGATGTGGAGTTGAGACATCAGATTTTGGGAGAGGCTCACGCGAGCAAGTTTTCCATTCATCCGGGAGCGACCAAGATGTACCATGACCTCAAGAGGTACTATCATTGGGTCGGGATGAAGAGGGATGTAGCAGACTGGGTTGCGAAGTGCAACACTTGTGCCTTGGTGAAGGCAGAGCATCAGGTTCCGGGTGGTCTTTTGCAGAGTTTACCCATTCCAGAGTGGAAGTGGGACAGGATTACGATGGATTTCGTGGTTGGACTACCTGTTTCGAGGACTTTCGATGCTATCTGGGTGATTGTGGATCGGTTGACTAAGTCTGCACATTTCTTGGCCATCAAGAAGACAGATGGAGCTGCTGTCTTGGCTAGGAAGTTTGTGCGAGAGATTGTGAGGCTGCATGGAGTGCCAGCTAGTATTGTGTCAGACCGTGATCCCAGATTCACTTCAGAGTTTTGGAGGGCGTTTCAGGCAGAGATGGGCACTAAGGTGCATCTGAGTACAGCTTATCATCCGCAGACAGATGGTCAGTCAGAGAGGACTATTCAGACTTTGGAGGATTTGCTGAGGATGTGTGTGTTGGATTGGGGTGGCCATTGGGCAGATCACCTAAGCTTAGTTGAGTTTGCATACAACAACAGCTTTCAGGCGAGTATTGGCATGGCTCCATTCGAGGCTTTGTATGGGAGGCCATGTAGGACACCCCTATGCTGGACCCAAGTGGGGGAGCGCAGCATGTATGGAGCTACTTATGTTCAGGAGACGACAGAGAAGGTTCGTGTTGTGAGGCTGAACATGAAGGAGGCTCAGGATAGGCAGAAGAGTTATGCAGATAGACGCAGACGAGAGCTTGAGTTTCAGGTTGGAGATAGAGTTTATCTCAAGATGGCTATGTTGAGGGGTCCTAACAGATCCATAGCAGAGAACAAGCTGAGTCCGCGTTTTATGGGTCCGTTTCCAGTAGTGGAGCGAGTTGGGCCATTGGCTTACAGGCTGGAGTTGCCTGAGATTATGAAAGCCTTTCACAAGGTTTTTCATGTGTCGATGCTGAGGAAGTGTCTTCACCCTACAGAGGAGTTAGTGGCTAGGATTCCAGAGGATCTTCAGCCAGATTTGACAGTGCCGGCAGTGCCTGTGAGGATTTTAGAGAGGAGGGAAAAGGTTCTGAGGAACAAGAGGATTCCCTTACTGAGGATTTTGTGGGATTGCAGTGGTTCTACAGAGGAGACTTGGGAGCCAGAGGCAAAGATGAAGTTGAAGTTCAGGAAGTGGTTCGACAAGCAGGTCGAGGAGTGAGCTTATTTCATCTTTGTAGCCTCAGTTGTTATTTTTGGCTTTGGTGTTATTGTATTTTCGTTTTCGTTGTAACGATATACATTTTGGAGTTTTAATGAGATGCAGTTTTTCCTCATTTTGCCTTGTGTTGTGGTATTCGGATGTTACACATGTTTGACCAGTTTTTGGTTGTGAGACGGTCTAATCTTATGGTTATAGACATTTTCCGGAATTTTTACTCTAAGGATTGCGATCCTGAATAACTCATCATGTTTTTGGAGACTTCGTTCTCTGGCAGACTCTCTGGGTGCAAGTAGGCCTCAGTTGAGTGTAGCTTATATGGGTGCAAGTAGGCCTCAGTATAAGCAGTTTAGTTCATCTGGGTGCAAGTGGGCCTCAGTATGGACGTTTTCGGGTTCGTCTGGGTGCAAGTGGGCCTCAGTGCGGACCGGTGTGGACTTGTCTGGGTGCAAGTGGGCCTCAGTACAAGTTGTTTGGTGTGATGAGTTAGGAGTGAAATTTTCTTGGAACGTGTTTATGACATAAGATTATGACGTTTGTCTCGGGGATCAGTGAGGATCTCCGGTGTTGCGGCCTTGCGAGGTTGGGTTTTGTGGTCTTTGTGACGTTTGTTGGGATTCGAGGACGAATCCAGTTTAGTGGGGAAGAGTTGTAACATCCATAAACCAAAAATAAAAATTGGGAATTTTGTCGGTTCAATTTAAGTGAATTGGTTTGGGTCGGTTTAGTGGAGAAAGCCCTAAAATCAAGTTTAAAGAGTGCAGCCGTCTTCTCTTTGGAGAATTTTCGAGTTCAGATGCTGTAGAGGAGAAAAGTTGAGTTTTTGGAGAGATTTTCGAATTTTACTGTTCATCGGTACTGTTCATCGGTACTGTTCATCGGTACTGTTCATCGGGTTACTGTTCATCGGTACTGTTCATCGGTACTGTTCATCGTCGATTCGCACTGTTCATTTTTTCCTTCAGTTTCAATCATTGTCAAGGTGAGTGCATGACTGTGGGTCCGTGATTTGCTAGATTAGATTTGGTTTGTGGTTGTTCTTGATGAGTTTATGTTTTAATTGTTATTTCATGATATTTTGGTTGTTCATGTGATGAATTGTGTGTTTGTGTGGTTTAATCTGGTTTAATTGAATTTAATTGATTTGATTCTGGTTTATCTTGGTTCAATTGAATTTAATTGGTTTATATTGGTTTAATTGAATTTAATTGGTTTAATGAATTAAATAGATTTAATTCGGATTTAATTAATTGGTTTAAAATTAATTTTAAAATATGGAAAATTATTATTTAATTATGAGAATTATTTAATAATTGAGAAATTGAGTTTTAATTATTAAAAATTATTTAATAATTGGAAAATGGTATTTAATAATTATTGAAGTTTATAAATATTATTAAATATCTAGTAAATTGCGTAAATGGCTCGTAGGCAGAGTGATTGCCTCACTAAGTATTTATTAAATACTTACGCAACTCCATTCCAATGTGTTGCAGGTAAAAGATTTGTGTGATCGCGGAATCAAGGCTGAAGAGGGGGATGATAGGATGTTTACTGTTTTATTGTTTTGCATTATTTTGCTAGACTTGTTTAATTATTATTTGCTTCCGCTGAGCTGATTTATTTGTTATTGATATTTTATTTATTTAATTTATTTTTAAGACCTTCGCTAGAATTGATTAATATTTAAAAAAAAAAAAATGTTGGTTGTTTCAATGATGTTACACTATGG